CCATTCGACAACCTCACTTCCCATATTCACCATTCATTATTAAATATATGAACTAAGTCTCTCTGTTCTCCAACTTCGACAACCTCACTTCGCATATTCACCATTCATTATTCCACCTAGCTCTCTCATGATTTGGGTCAAAAATCATCTTTTTTTAACGTACGCCAAATTAAGTTCAAGTGATCTCTACCGGAGACAACGTGACTGAGCACACACGCTTGTCGATATTCAATCATTTTCAAACTAAAAGTATCAAATAAAAATAACTCCAAGTCTCCAAGTCCTTTATGAATGTAGTTTTTTATGCGTGAATATAAATAATACAACGTCTAAAAATCAGTTTACACATGTAAAAACCAAAACGCATGCATCTATATTTTTTTGCTCATCATATCGTCATCCATTTTCTTCCTTTTCTCAGACAATCTCAATATCGCTATCTTTGATTAGAGATTTTAGTTTCGAGTAATTTAAGTGGAAAAGGGAATAAGTTTAATTGAATACATAAAGTAGAAATGCAAATAGGGTTTATGAGAGAATTAAAAGAGAAACTTGTGCTAATGGGACTCGTGAACAGCAAACTTGAGGAGAGTTGCATCAACCATCTTTTTCAACATCACTATGGCCTCGTCGACCCTCCCAGCCTTGGCATACCCGTTGATCATTGATCTAAACGTAGGAACATCGGGGCTCAAGTATTGGTCGGAGCATATTTCCACAAACAAATCTTGCGCTTCAGACATCATCCCGCGCTCGCAGAACTGAGCTATGATGTTAGCGTAGCAGCTAGAGGACCTCGTAAACTCGAGCCTCTTGAAAGTCTCGAGAGCCTCCTTGAAGTGGCCCAGCTTGAAACACGCATTCACCATTATACCAAAGGTCTCTCTATCAAAGTTCTTGGAATTGGTAATCATGGCGTTGAAGAGATCCCAAGCCTCTGTTTGCTTACCGTTTTGCAACAAGATCTCCAAAAGGGTATTCCCAGTGGCCGCACACACTAACTCCCCTTTCCTTATGATTAGAGACCTGTAAATCTCCATAGCTTTCTCGTCCTCTCCTTGCTTGAGCCAGTAATCCACAAATGTCGCATCCACGACCGCTCTTCTGTTCTGACCGTCAGTGCGACTAGGCCAGATCAATATTTTGTTACGACCATCAGTGAAGTCAGGCTCGGTCTTGTTGTTAAAATCATCAAATAATTCATAAGCCTTGTCGTGGTTTCCTAAATCCATAAATCCGCGGATGAGATAGCTGTATACCACCGAATCATAGAGCCTAATGTACTTTATTAACCCCACAGCTTCATAGATCCTCCCGGTGTTGACCAAGCCTTTGGCCAACGACCTGAATGTGTCGACATCTTTACGAAAATAGCCCCTACAGGGATGGCATAGTTTGAGTGCTTCATCTACACGATTTTGATCACAATGGGCTTTGACAACGTGGTTGAAGGAGACGGCGGAGTGTCCAAGTTTAGACTCGCTGTCGAAGAACTGGTACAGAGCGAATGCATCATCGTACCTTTCGGCGGCGCACATGGCGCCGATGATTTCGTTGCACATCAAGACCTTCGTATCCCAGCCGCGATACTGTTTCAAGACAGCGAGACGTGAGATCTGCGCCGCCTTTTCCAATTCGGAGAGCTCAATCAGTGAGCTGACTCTGAAACGTAAAGAAATCCGACGGTCATCGATTAGAGAAACGATGTTGGGATCGAGTTTCTCGGTGAGCGCCGACGGGAGTGAAGATGGATCTCTTCCGAGAGGGAAAGGGAACGACCTGACGACTGCAAGGGCGGAACCGGATAAGGTGTTCTGCTGCGCCTTGAGAAAGAGACTGCGGAAGGACATGGCGGCGGAGGAGGAGAGACACCGTGGGAAATAGGGGTTTTAAAGATGATGTCACCTACCTTTTTCGTACTTGTATATTCAAAACATAATCTATTTTAACATTTATTACCTAAAACCAAAAAAAGCACGAAACAAAATATTTTCTAACCTTGTTTTTGTTTAAAAATATATACAGAGGATCGAATGAATCGGGAGTTGAAGGAAAGAACTAAGAAGAAAAACAAAATATTTTCTTGCGAATATGTTTGCTTCTTTCTTATATAATAACTAAAATGATAAATTACCTACTCGAAACGGTAAATTGCTCGACAATCATTTGATAATTAATAGACAGTATATTCAAACTAATTAACTTCAGTTCACTCTATGTACGGAGAAGTTTATCTAAATGACTAAATCTCTCTTTCAACCATGCATACGTGGTTTAACAAACCAATAAAAAACATGCATACGTGGTATCACTGGTATGTAAACCGAAGACAAATTCTGAAAGGTATGGTATATATAATATATATACTCTTAAATACAAAGTTGGAGGTTTTTCTGTGAATTAGCTAATAAAGTTGAAGATTCTTTTTGTTATCCCTTCTGATTCAGTTTAAGTCTTTAGAGCATCTCCAATGGTAAGATATAATCATGGGCTCTTACCAATATTTTTAGTATAAATTTTGTATAATTACAAGCTAAGAACTTTATTAGGAGTTTTTATTTTTTTTTCCTCCTCTAATGGTGGGGTTCATAGTGTGGAGTTCTTGGTAACCAACTTTTATGTTTATGCTTTAGTTTAGATTATCCTGTTTGATTTCAATGAATAAGTGTATAATGTTAATCTTATTTGGTTACATGGAGGATCGGAATAGTGCAGGAGTGGCAAATCAACCCAAAAAATTACAAAAAATTTGTAGCCAAAGAAATGAAGAAGACAAAACCAATGAAATACCACGTCGTGTTTCTTCTTTATCATTGCGGAGCTTATTTTTCTTCTCTAGCTTTAGCTTGAAACAGAGACTTACCATTGCTCTCAGAAGGATCTATGGATACACTACAAGCCTTAAAGTTACTTTAACTCTATGAGGCACAACATCTCAAAGAAACAAAATTGCATACACACAATTCCATACTTTCATTTCAATATTCGAGAGAAACTCAATCAGAAACATTCACGAGTCAAGTAACTCGTCAATAAAACAACAAAAGCATCCGATCAATTCCAAAAAAAAATCACAATCTTATTGTCAAAATAACAATCACTCCGATCAAGTTTACAAAAAAAAAACTAAATCAGAATCTGAAGAAAAAACGATTCATGAGCAATCAGAGATGATCAGCTAACGGCGGATCGAACAATCGGAGGTCACAATAAGCGGATCATTTCTCCTCTGATTGCTTCCGATTTGAGACAAATCGCAGTCGGAGAAAACGAGAAAGAGAGAGAGACGGATAACGAGAGAGAAACAATGCATTTTTTAGCTAACCTTTCCACCAACCAGACAATGACACGTCATCGTGTCTTATAGATTTTTAGAACATCTCCAACAGAAGTTTTTCATAGGATGTCTAAAGAATTAAAAAAATAATAATAATTAAAAGTAAGAGAAAGAATGAGACACTATGAGACACTGTGTCTAATACTTGGCATCATTTGATTGGTTAAAGTTTTTTTTAATTAATTAAAATTTAATCAAATAATTTATTTACTACAAAAGCATTAAATTATTATATTTGAGAAACTTCTATGGTTTCTCGTTGGAGATGCTCTTAAAACTCCCTACTAAGAAACGGTTCTTTCTTAATTAGCCATTTTTTTTATTTAATTTTAATCAAATTTCAGCTTAGAACCCCTTACTAGAACCACCTTTGGAGGTGGTCTTAGACTTTAAAATTTGTTTGATACTCCCTTTGTTTCATTTTATATGTTATTTAAAGTTGTAGAAATTGTTTGTCTTTTAATTTCCAAATTAAAACATCATTTATTATTTAGCTAGAAATAATATATTCATCCAATAACAAAAATTTTTTTAGAATACAAATAGTTAAAAAGATAAAAGTAATAAACTTTTGTATAGGATAGTAAGAACATCACTTTATTTGACGAAACAATTTTTTTTCTTTCAAAAACAACATTTGAAGTGAAACAGAAGGAGTAATAAGTATAAATATCTTTTTACCTAGGGTTTCTCATACAATTTTTAGTTTATCCTCACCGGTTAAACTAGCCAATAAATTCATTTATTAAATGTATTAATAAAAGATAAAATAGAAAATTATTTATTTTTAATGTGTCAAAACAAAAATTAAACTGAAACGGATGAAATATTTGTTGATACATCATGCATATGAAACGAGTTCCGAACTACGTTGTGTAACGATCGATCTTTTTGTAAAATGAGGCCCATGCAACCCAACTCTCCACGTAATCGACTAATCGCCTACATATTAACGGAGATGAGAGAAAACAAAAAAAACTAAATAGAGTTTATGTTTGAGGAGATTGTTTTGAGAAGGTTTTAATGAGTACTAAATTTTTAATTTATGCCAATATATTATTGAAAAATGTAAATTTTTCAGAAAAATATATTTATTTATTTCCATGCCTAACGTTTGTAAGTTATATTATTATTATACATTTTTAAAAAGTTTTGTAAAAAGAGATTGGAGTTTGGAGTAAGAAAATAGGGGAGCTCAAAGTTCAAATAGTGTAAGCTTACCTTCGCTTCCTCAAGTCCTCACCATCCATTATTCCACCTAGACCGCTCTTTCAAAAACCTAGCAATTACCAAACATAACTTACAGATTCATAGAGGAAGGATTAAATCACATTTCTCCCAAAGTACACATACAAAACGGGAAAAATGTCATTTAATAGCCCAACTTTAAAAAAATGGCCGTTTTAACTTCGAACTTTGTATGTGGCTATTTTAAACATGTACAAAAAGTTGACCTACCGTTTGAACCATTTGAATTCAGACCATGCCATAAGAAACACACCGTTATCTGTCACTAACAGAACCGTTAACAGCCGTTTGCACCCGTTAACGAGCATCTGTTAGTATCCAAAACAACGTCGTTTAAGAATTAATTGATGTGAAATCGGGATTGAAATCCCCAAATCAGAAAATCAAATCCCTAATTCTATCCCTAAACGAAATCCCTAATTCGTCTTCCCATATGCAACTAGTTAGAATCAAAGGCGTCATTTCGAAGATTGGCTTACCAATGTGTGGCGAATCAGAGAGTTTTGTGGGAGATGGAGTTGTAGCTCCACCGCGAGGCGAAGCAGATGTTATCGGAGATAGAGTTCAAGCTCAAGCGGCGCAAGGCGTTTCAGAGTCTTGTGGCGGAGAAGAAGTTTTAGCTCAACCGAATGTAGTATCAAAGTTTGTTGTGGGAGATGAAGTTGATGCTCGTGCTCCAGAACGGCGACGAAAACGAAAGAAACGGTTGTAGCGGGTGCAAACGGCGGTTAGCGGGTGAAAACGAAGGAAACATTTGCTAAAACGACGTCGTTTTGAGCACTAACAAATATTTGTTAACGAGTGCAAACGGCTCTTAACGGTTATGTTAGTGACAGATAACAATGTGTCTTTATGGACTGGTCAACAAATTCAAATGGTTCAAACGATTAGTCAACTTTTTGTTCATGTTTAAAATGGCCACATACAAAGTTCGAAGTTAAAACGGCCATTTTTTGAAAGTTAGGCTATTAAATGACATTTTTCCCCATGCAAAACCCAAATTAATGCATTTTTTTATTGCTCATCGTCATCTATCTTCTTCTTTCTTTTTCTTTGACAATCTCAATATCTCTATATTTGATTAGAGGTTTTCGAGTAATTTAAGTAGAAATGCAAATAGGGTTTATGAGAGAATTAAAAGAGAAACTTGTGCTAATGGGACTCGTGAACAGCAAACTTGAGGAGAGTTGCATCAACCATCTTTTTCAACATCACTATGGCCTCGTCGACTCTCCCAGCCTTGGCATACCCGTTGATCATTGATCTAAACGTAGGAACATCGGGGCTCAAGTATTGGTCGGAGCATATTTCCACAAACAAATCTTGCGCTTCAGACATCATCCCGCGCTCGCAGAACTGAGCTATGATGTTAGCGTAGCAGCTAGAGGACCTCGTAAACTCGAGCCTCTTGAAAGTCTCGAGAGCCTCCTTGAAGTGGCCCAGCTTGAAACACGCATTCACCATTATACCAAAGGTCTCTCTATCAAAGTTCTTGGAATTGGTAATCATGGCGTTGAAGAGATCCCAAGCCTCTGTTTGCTTACCGTTTTGCAACAAGATCTCCAAAAGGGTATTCCCAGTGGCCGCACACACTAACTCCCCTTTCCTTATGATTAGAGACCTGTAAATCTCCATAGCTTTCTCGTCCTCTCCTTGCTTGAGCCAGTAATCCACAAATGTCGCATCCACGACCGCTCTTCTGTTCTGACCGTCAGTGCGACTAGGCCAGATCAATATTTTGTTACGACCATCAGTGAAGTCAGGCTCGGTCTTGTTGTTAAAATCATCAAATAATTCATAAGCCTTGTCGTGGTTTCCTAAATCCATAAATCCGCGGATGAGATAGCTGTATACCACCGAATCATAGAGCCTAATGTACTTTATTAACCCCACAGCTTCATAGATCCTCCCGGTGTTGACCAAGCCTTTGGCCAACGACCTGAATGTGTCGACATCTTTACGAAAATAGCCCCTACAGGGATGGCATAGTTTGAGTGCTTCATCTACACGATTTTGATCACAATGGGCTTTGACAACGTGGTTGAAGGAGACGGCGGAGTGTCCAAGTTTAGACTCGCTGTCGAAGAACTGGTACAGAGCGAATGCATCATCGTACCTTTCGGCGGCGCACATAGCGCCGATGATTTCGTTATGTATCATGTGCTCCTTATTCAAGCCGCCGTCGTTTTCCAAGACAGCAAGGCGCGATACCAGAGCTGCCTGGTACAATTGACAAAGCTCGATTAGTGAGCTCACTCTGAAGCGTAGAGAAATCGGACGCTTATCAATGAGAGAGAGGGCGTTCGGATCGAGTTTTTTGGTGAGCGTCGACGGGAGTGAAGATGGATCTTTCCCGAGTAAGATCCGGGACATGGAAGAGAAATTGTTGGTCTGGATGCGGAGGCCGAGAAAACTGCGGTGGATGGACATGGCGGCTGAGAGACACCTAATTCTATTTTTTATTTTTTTTGGTATATTCGAAAGGCTTTCTGTTAAACATTTTATTACCTAAGTCCTAAGTAGAGGAGACACAAAAAGAGGAAGAAAATAAACCAAATATAACACTTTTTCATGTTTATACATAGAGAATCTTGTATGAAAAGAAAAGAAAATATTTGCTTTCCTTGACAGTGAAATCATATTTAATTACTTGCCGTGTCCTCCAAGGAACATAGGACTGACGTGTGATAAGCAAGACATTGGATCTTAAATAGTTAGAAGATCTAAAGATCTTTAAGCACATTAGCAATATGAAGATTCCGACCATGTTTCTCCGCCGCCGCTTCCTCAGCAGCTCTTTATTTCTCTCTCTCCCTTCTCTTTGTCGCTTCTCCTCCTCTGTTTCTGTCTCCTCCGGCTTACCTCCACCTCCGCGGCCAGACTACATGGGCAATTCAGACTGCCGAGCAATCCCTCTAAGCGACAGTGTGGCCAAGCATGCTAGACTTTCTCCCTTCGCAGAGAATGAGGTCAAGCTACTAACAATTGCTTCAACCAGAATATTATGTGAATATCTATCTCTTCTGGATCCATCAGCCAAGAAACTTTGGGGAGAGATGCTGGACGGTATTGTCCATCTCATTTCACACAATGAACAAGAACTCTCAAAGAATACTGCCTCCATGCCAGGAGAGGATCCGGTGTGGTACTTTTGTTCTTCCTTAGAGAAACTCTGTTCTTCATATCCTGACATATACCCAAATAACATCGAAAAGAGCCTTAGCCCAGCTAATATGTCATACTTGGTCAAGCTATGTTCTCATTACAAATGTGAAATCTTCCGGGTAAGTGTTATTTCAATTTGTGTAATAATCTGCTGATATTTAGATTCATGAAGATTTTTGATGTATTTGAAATAAATTTTGGTAGAATGGATGAGATGAGAAGAAAGAAGAGCAACATTGCATTGGATGATATGTGAAGCAAAGTTATGGGCTTTTTTTTTCTTTCTTTTTTCCCGGCTCTAGATTTTAATGGAACCGTGTTTTTAGGAGCTTGCTATTGCCAACACTTTTGTGATTAAACTAAAGTTAACTTTGTTGACTTGGATTGGTAACTAATACCAAATTCTATTGATATCCCTTGAAAATGTATGAAATCAGAGTTACTTTGACATAAAGCGGACGAAATGTGTGAATGATTGCATTTCTATATAATGTATGTCTCAGAAATCTACAAGCTAAGATAAAATAGTTGAGAGAGTTGAGAAACACATCCACTAGCATTTTTTTTTTTTTTTTTTTTGTAAATGTTAAGAAACCACTAGCAATTTCTGAGTGTGAAAGTATCTCAATGGGAAACTGTTCGTATAGATGTTTTTGATCCATGTATGATTAAAATGCCTCAATTCAGCATGCCTTTGATGTGTTGGGGGATGTGGTAAAACAATTGATGAATTCCCATTTCAGTAACGACTGGCTTAAGTGATAGTCATTCATGTAACTAGAAGCAAAGAGAGGGGTCATTATCAAATATACGATGAGTTTTTGCCGGATTCTCAGCTTTGCATATGTGCTTGTGAAACTTCTTGCCTTATCTACACAGTACAAATTGTATTGGCTTTGAAATGTTATCAGCCACCAAGGGTATAACGTTCTCTGCTCGCTGGTACATTCAGGAAAATTACAAATTGCCTACTCTTAATTGTCAATAAATGACAATGTTGATTTCCAACTCTTAACATTTAGCACTTAAGCAAAGGAGAAAGCAAAATAGGAAAGAAAATTAATAAAATATTTTTCCAATAAAAATAATGTAACACTTTTTCATGTTTAGAAATAGAGAGAGAGATCGAGAAGGAAAAGATAAATATAGAGAATCCAGTACGAAAAGAAAAGAAAATATTTGCTTTCCCTGACAGTGAAATCATATACAATTATAAGATTTGCCGTGTCCTTCAAGAACATAGGAGTGACGTATCATATAAGCAAGACATTGGATCTTAAATAGTTAGAAGATCCAAGGATCTTAAAGCACACTTAGCAATATGAATATTCCGACCATGTTTCTCAGCCGCCGCTTCCTCAGTAGTTCTTGCGCTCTCTCGCTCCCTTCTCTTTGTCGCTTCTCCTCCTCTGTTTCTGTCTCCTCCGGTTTACCTCGACCTCCTCGGCGAGACTACATGGCCAATAGCGACTGCCGAGCAGTCCCTCTTCGCGACAGAGTGGCTTTCCTAATCCGCTTATCAGACCTGGACACTGCGGCAAAGCACGCGCGCCTTGCTCCCTTTGCGGAGAATGACAAAGAATACGCCGTGGATTGGGTCTGCGGCGCAATCATCGTCGCCATGTGCAAAGCCAAGAGGTATAGAGACGCCCTTGATCTGATCCGTTATTTCTTTAACGAGCACAAGATGATCCCACCAAAGGGTTCCTTCAATCATGTACTCAAAGGCGTCTTGGACGACTCTTCAAACGCCACAAAGACCCTCCTCAAGGTGAAAAGGTTGGCCCAAGCAGGAAGCTTCGATGAAGCCATGGATTCGGTCAGCGTGAAAGGTTGTATGAGGCAGATAAAGCCTTTTGGTATGTGTCTGGATGTGTCCAACAGTCTGATTCGAGAACTTTTGGATCTCGGGAAGTTCAAAGAGGCCCTCAAACTCTTTGGCGAAATCAAGATTAAAGACGACCACAACCGTGCCGCAGTTGCAAGCGCTACATTCATGGAGTATTGGTTCAAGAAAGGTAAGGAGGACGAAGCTATGGAGTGCTACAATAACTTACTAGCAACCAAGCTGACAAAAATTGAATCGACGGGTTCAATAGCACTATTGAAAGTTCTTTTAAAGTATGACAAGAAAACCCAAGCTTGGGCATTGTTCCACCATCTTGTAGATTCTGATAGGCAGACAAAATATGAATTTGTGGATTCAGATAAATTAAATCCAATAATGGTGAATGAGTGTTTCAAGATGGGTCAGATTCACGCGGCCATCCAGACTTTTAAGATCCCCATGGCAGACCCAGATGCTAGTGGTTTGAGAAACATTATCACATGTTTTTGCGAGCTAGGCTTATTAAAAGAAGCAGACCATTTCTTTGCAAAAATGCCGAGAGACTGCACCCCTGACGTTTCAACATACAAAGCCCTAATGGATGCATATGTAAAGGCCGGGAGAGTCGACGACATTCTCCAAATCTCAAACCACATGGTCGATGCATCTCTCAGCCAAGTTGCTAAGGTCTCTTGCCTCTTCTTTCAGCAGCCTCAGTAAATAGTACGTAACATCACCAGTTGGAGCTTTTGTCGAAGGGAAAAAAACCCCTTTATTTTCCGTACTTTTTATATTTTGCTGCTTGGTTTATCTATTATTATATTCTGAATCCATATTATTTTATAGTAACATTCTAGTTTTTTTAAAGAGTGTCGGACTGACGTTGGAAGGAAACCAAGTTATAGGCTTTCTTGTTTAAACCATAATTTAACAATAATCAAACGAAGGAATACAGTGAAGTGACTTTAATCTAATTAAGAGCAACATTATTGGGGAGGCCTTAGTTTTGGTTCTTAGTAATCTTTTAGTATTAAAATTGTAAAAGTTTTAGTTAAGAGCATGTATTTTGTTTTTAAATTTTATTTCTCTCCATTGGGGAGGCCTTAGCATATGGTTTTTAGAAAAACTATTTTCATGAATAAGTCATGCTTGCTGACAAAATTCGTTTGGTTTCTGTAAACAACTTCAAAGCTTAATCGCAAGTGCTCCCATCAGGAGACAGAACTTTCTGCAATAAGAAATCAACTACAGAGATTACAGCTAGTCTTCAAATTTCTCCGACAGAACTCAATGGTATCTTCAACTAAACACATGCAACTAGATCACCAAAGCGAGACTAAACCTAGCCTAATTTCCAGACCCTCAAACAACATCAATTAAACATGCTAAATATACATACAGACAGGATTTAATATGCTACATAACCTAATTTTACCAAAATCAGAAAACCCCAATTTCCCCAAATCTATGAACCCTAATTTCCCGACCCTAAAACAACAAACAATTAAAACATGCAGAGCTAGATTCGTACCTTACATGATCGTTTGGTGAATTATTCAATCCGATTTGTTGAAAAAATCGGAGTGAGACTTTGCTCTTCCGTTTTGATTTCCCAGACTCGCTGTTGTGGTCCACCAAATATCTTCCCAGTCTGTTGTTTCAAATGTGGACAACAATATTTGTCTACCAAAATTCTTCAAGTCTGTTATTTCAAAATCTTGTCCGCCAAATATCTTTGAACTCTGTTGTTTCAAATGTAGGCAAGTTTTTTCGTCCACCAAATATCTTAAAGTTCGATTGTGGCACATTTGAAAAGGTTTATGTTTTGTGGCATTTTTGATAAGTTTTGCTACAGTGAATGACATTTCCAACCAAATTCCCTTTATTTTTTCACTTCACTCATTGTAGGAGCGACACCTGTCATGCTCTTAAGCCAATTTTTTGCTCTTAACTAAGAACCATTCCTTAGCAAAATTAACATTTCAACCTTTAATTTTAATCACTCATGAGCTAAGAACTAAGCTAAGGACTTTCCAATAAGGATGGTTAGTAGCCATAACCAAGGGCGGACCCATGTTAAGTATATATAGCAGACCTTACTAGTTATTACCCATTCTCATATATTGTGGTTTTCGGAATCTAAATTTTACATAAATACAAATTATTTCCCTCCAAAACATCCTTTCAAATCCTATTCGCCACTTCCATGACTGATTTTTTGGCATCAGAAACTCAGAAAGTTTTGATGCTCCTCCATCAATTTCTAGGGGTGAGCCAAAATAAGGGACATGGTTTGGTTATGCTTTAACTTAAAATACCTATATTTGGTTTGGTTAAAAATTGTAAATTTGGGATAATTATAGATTTCTTTGGTTTAAATTACTTTCACTAATTTATTTGATTTCACTTCTCAAAATTGATTGAAGAAAGAGATTAAACTAAAAATAGGATGGTCTTAAAACTAAAAGTCTAAAAGTGGAGAGCGATATCCAACGAATTTAGACAACCCTCACTTCGCATCTTCACCATTCATTATTCCACATATGCCTCTCATGATTATGACACGTCACGTATCTATCTCGCGATTTTAGACAACTGAGCACACAAGCTTATCGATATTCAATCATTTTTCACGCTTAACTCCAAGGTCTGCATTGTGCACACTCGCTGGTACAATCAGGAAAATTTCAGATTACAAACTCTTACCAATAAATGACAACGTTGATGAAACTATTTACTAATGTGTACTAGAGAGTAACAATAGATTCGATTAACTGAACCTTGACAACATATCATCTCAAGCTCAAGCATCGAAAGGTCTTTTTTTGTCATAAATCATATACACTAGGCAGGCCATAAATCATATACACTACCTTGAAGATGAGATGGGAAATCGTTTTGACACTCAGCAAGCCATCCATTCGCACTGTGTGGAGTTCTTCAAGAATCTTCTAGGCAGCTCTGAAACTCAACCTCTGTTCATGTAGGATGACATAACGGCGCTGTTGAATTTCCAATGCTCAAAGTTCCCTCCTTGACTCTACGTTCTCCAAAGAAGAGATAAAAGAAGCTTTCTTCTCTCTCCCTAAGAACAAAGCCAGTGGCCCTAATGGTTATTCTTCGGAGTTTTTTACTAGTTGTTGGAGTGTGATTGGGGCAGAGGTGACGGCAGCTATTACTAAGTTCTTCTCCTCAGGTACTTTACTTAAACAGTGGAATGCTACTACATTGGTGTTGATTTCAAAAATTCAGAACGCGTCGAAGGTATCTGATTTCAGACCTATATCTTGCCTCAACACTTTGTATAAAGTCATCTCTAGGCTCTTAGCAAATAGGCTGAAGTCCATCCTCCCATCTGTTATATCTCATGCTCAATCTGCTTTCTTGCCTACTAGGCTGCTGTCAGAAAATGTTTTGTTGGCTTCAGAGATTGTGCAAGGCTACAATAGGAAAAATATAAAAGCAAGAGCACTGCTAAAGGTCGATCTAAGGAAAGCTTTTGATTCTGTCAGATGGGACTTCATGCTTGCTACTCTGCCAGCTCTAATCATTCCTGAAAAGTTTATTGGATGGATTAGAGAGTGTGTTTGCACCCCATCCTTCTCGATCTCGGTAAACGGAATGTCTGATGGGTTCTTCCAGAGTACAAGAGGCTTGAGGCAGGGAGACCCTCTTTCTCCATATCTATTTGTGCTTGCCATGGAAGTGTTTCAAAGATGATGCTATCAAGATTTGCTTCAGGTTCTATTGCTTACCATCCAATGACATCTGAGTTAGAAATTTCTCACTTGATGTTCGCCGATGACGTAATGGTTTTCTTTGATGGTAGTAATTCCTCCCTACATGGTATCTATGAGGCTCTGGATGACTTCGCAGGCTGGTCAGGACTTACAATGAACAGAAATAAGACTACTCTCTTCCATGCTGGTTTATCTCCATTGGAGGAGTCAGCGATTGCTCAATATGGTTTCCCCATTGGCACGCTGTCCGTAAGGTACTTAGGACTTCCCCTAATGTCCAGAAAGCTTACCATTGCTGAATACTCACCTTTGCTTGAGAAAATCACTAACAAGCTGAGAGGATGGGCAACTAAGTCACTTTCTTATGCGGGGAGAACTCAGCTCATTGCTAGTGTGATATACGGAACTATTAACTTTTGGATATCCACCTTTAGGCTTCCCAAGGGTTGTATAAATCTTAACAGGCTACCCACCAGGGATAGGCTAGCTTCATGGGGACTTCAAATCTCCACTGACTGCTCCTTTTGTGTTGGCTCAATGGAGACCAGGGATCACATCTTTCTGCATTGCACATTCGCTCAATCACTATGGAATCTCAGCCTCGCAAGATTGCGTTTGGCTCCGACAGTTTTTGCAAACTGGGCAGCCTTATTGGCTTGGCTAAAGGTCAAGAACACAAACTCGCCTCAAACACTACGACTATTGATTACCCATGCTCTAGTCTACGGGATCTGGAGGCAGCGGAACAACCTGTTTCACAACATCATTTCAATCTCGCCGCTCACCATCTTCATTGACATTGACCGGCAAATTATCAACTCAATCACAGCTAGGAGGAAGATGAAGAAATTCAAAAACCTTATGGCGCTTTGGCTCACCTAATGGATGCTCCTGTTTCCTTTTTCTGAGAATGTTTATAATCTAAATGTAACCTTGTTTTTTATTCTTTTTTGCCAAGGTTCATTTGTTCTAGGTCTTCTATTGTAACACCTACATTTCATCTAATGATATTTAATTACTCTCTTAGCAAAAAAAAAAAAAAAGGTCTTTTTTGCTCTCTTTGCTTAAAGTCTTATATTTCCTCTAAGAATAAACTAAATTCATCATCAAAGAAATGTGTTAAGATAACCCTGAAACTAATTGCAAACAAAAGCCACAATTTTAATGAGCGTATATTTAAAACCATCCAAATCAGTGCCTCTAAAAGGAGTTATTTTCAACTCGGAGCATAGAACCAAGACAGTGTATGAGTCCAAACATTTCAAAATCTCCGGGTTTATATCATAATCCTAATTTCCCAAAAAGAAGAAATGAAGTTAGAATGTTTGCGAGTAACAAGAAGAAACAGAAACTTATCTTCACCTTTTCGGTTACCACAATGATAGGCTTGGAATTAGATTTATATTCTACTCCCTTTGCTATCCTCCTCATAGTTTCGACATCCTTATAATGTGACATTGATCAAAGCCAATTTGATTAAGTAAAAATAATCTTTGTTTTAGTGCCATTTATATATTGACTACTGGCATTTATTGGCACTAAAACAAATAGGAAATAATAGATGCGAAAGTAACATTAATTGTACATGTGCTTCAAATAAATGATGATCACTGAAATCAAGTCTATCAACAAAACCTGCTCCAGTCTCTCAAACATATATAACCCACTAGTCAGCATAGCAGAACCTGAATCTTTGTTACAAAATCCAGTGAGCATAAAACTAGGATAATAGCACGAAGCAACTTACCATCTCGATGCTTTTGATGACAAATGCGTCAGCGGATCCAATTGCGGAAACACATAGCACAGAGGCACAACGCAATGCTTCTACAGCTACATGTGACCTAGCTTTTTTTAACATAGAACAAGTATTTGGGCACCATCTTGGAGTAGAAAATTGGATTCGACTTTTTGAATCTTTGTATCTTGTTCTCAATATCTCTGAGTCTTTGTTTAGCAATCTGCATGATCCAAAACCACTAACCTCAATAGTCATCATCAAAAGAAAGGAAAAAACAAAACAAAAACAAACTTGTCAACGCACCAAGTCCACGTGGTGTACTACAACAATCTGCCCGCTCAAGTGTCACAAGAGGTTCTCGTAAGGACCAAGCGAGACCAAATGTAGACCTGGGGTTGGGGCAACACAAAGTCAGTTGTCACTTATCATTCTTTACACAATAAGTAATATTGACCGAGAGATCCAATAATTTTTAGAATTTAGGGTTGTCGTTATTCGTTAATTTGATAAAACAAAAATTGTAACAATACACGAAATAACGTAATTCTACTTTTTTATTAGTATAATAAATGATATGTAAAATAGAAAATGATTTAGATACAGAATGGACATGATATGTAAAATAGAAAATGATAACGTAATATAATACATGATATGTAAAATAGAGAATTTGATTAGATTTAGATACAAAATGGGCATGATATGTAAAATAGGGAATGATTAACAGTGACCTAAATGTAAGTATATAAAATAGAAATCAAGAAGCATTCGTGATTAGCTTTTATCAGTCTCACTTACATGTTCAATATTAGTATGTTGTTATTTTGGTGAATATGTAACAAATTATGGAGTAAAAAGAAAAGCAATTATATATGTTAGCTGTGTGTGTGTTCCACATGTAAACGAAAATCAATAATTCCATTCAATAATAAATTAAAACTTTGCGAGTTTTGTAACTAAATAAACAGATACAAACAAAAAGTATATCAGTCTGATCTATTAATTGATTCATTTTTCTAACCTTCATGTTTAAAAATTTCATGTGCTCATGGATCACTCCAAATGGCATTTCATTAGTTATGCATCATATTACATAATTGTAACGAGTGTGTATATATATATATTTTACGAAAAAGAGTGTGATTTTTGCTTACATATTTTTTTTTTTTGGGAAAATTGGATATAAAGGATAAATAACTAATCTCACCTGGTAGAAGTCCACTCGGATAAGCTATTTAATAAGATAATGTTTTGTTATTGATTTTTTTGTGTTTAGCCCAAATCCTTTTATCCTGTTTGCTTGAGTGTCTAATGTTGTTCAACTAATTGGTTTTGTTTTTAGCTTTTTTCACAACCAGCCAATCAGAATAATGAATCCGATGTGGGACGTTGAACACACACTATTTCATAATTGGGTAATATATGTACGTTTTTAAAATTTCGAATCACAATGTATGCATAATATTTGTTTTGAGATTTTTCTTAACTTTATGTATTATATGATGATTCAAAATAGTTAAAAAAATAATCAAACAAAGATGATAGAAAAATTATAAATTTAAATCTTAATCAAAATTTTCTAATTTATATATTATTAAATATAGAATATCTAGTTCACAATTTTGGCTTTGAAATTTTTAACACTAGTAGTTTATTGCTCTCATGTATCAATATATTGGAAAGTTGCCTAGTGTCATGATCAATTTATTCTAGGTCTCCTATTGCAGTCCTTGATATTAAACCGTTTGCAAGGAGACGCATCATACCACTGTTGCATCTCGACGGTTTTCCAATGGTTAATGCCACATCTTTATGGTTGTTGACAGTTGATGCCTATTGCGGCCGTGTCACCATAACTTGGAGAGCGTAAATCAGTGATAAACTTGGTGATCTTTGTTTTCGTGAGCTAACCTACCTTCTCTTATCTTTGGTTGTCCTGATTCAGCGGGCACCTCAAGAGAGATTGATGCATCTTCTGGGATCTTCCATGAGATGCTTTCATCTCCCGGTGATACACGTCAGCCAAATTCAATTGTTGAGAGGAATGACTCGGAAGACTCTGATGGAAGAAGAGGTTTTGTTGAAGACATGGCAAACGAGAAAGACTCGAATGGAAGTGAGAGGATTGCTGAAAGAAAGAAATAATAATTCCATTTAAGAAACTAAAAATTATTATTTTTGTAACTAAATGAAAAATATACAAACAAAAAGTATACTAATTCATTAACTGATTCATTTTTTCTAACCTTCACCTTTTTAAAAATGTCACGTGCTCATGGATCACTCCAAATGGCAACTCATTAGTTTTGCGCTCATACTACATAATTGTCACATAGTGTGTAATTTTTGTTCACATAATTTTTTTTTGTTGTTGAATATGCTTTGTTTTTATCTCAAAGTGTCCGAACACCTAAATACAAACAAAAAGTATATGCATATGTGTAGTATAATCAAAAGATATGTAAGAGATATTTCAAGTTGTTTAGCAAATTTTTGTGTGTGTGAGATAATCAAAAGGTATGTAAGAGATATTCCAACTTGTGTATCAAATTTTGTGGTCCTTCAACTCACAAATAAAATTACTTATTTGTATAGTTTCCTTCAAAAATATGTTTTGTTGATTTTTAGTAGTTTTTTTTTTTGTTTTTTTCTTAGTTTTGTAAGTTCTTTAATTTGAAGTATCTAAACTCTCAATATATGGGGATGTGCCTTTAGTCAAGTGGTTAAGTCCATTTGACTCCGTCTTCCCCACCGGAGTTCGACTCCAGTAAGTCGCGTTACCCCGCGTAAAAGGGATTGGCTATGGATCGGGCCTTGTCGATCCAAAGATGTCAAAAAAAAAAAACTCTCAATATATTGCAACCATGGTAAAACTTGTTAGGGTTTTAAATTAATCAAGAGCATGGATAAGTGTATTTAATTCAGGTTTTATGTCAATTGTAATTTTGTGGATCAAATATTTTTTTAGAGTCTCATGACTGATGACTCTCATCTATGCTTATTACTTTATCAAGTCTATTAATTCTTTCATTTTTAAACCCCCACCGTTTAATTGAGCTGCGACCCACATAAAAATGTAGGGAATATAGGGACAAATCAATGTCTTTCACTGGGAGTAATCAAAATGCTACATATATTTATATACTATAAAAAAGTCTCACGCGTTGCATGAGTTTAAATGAATATAGAAAATTGAGCATACTATAACAACATAAATAGTAAATTAAATGAATTCAAGTTTGATAAATTACATACAAATTTGGAGAAACTGCTCATTTGGCACAAAGCGATTATATCACAGTCTTTCGCTTACATATTTAATATTTTTTTTTATCAAGAAAAACAATACTAAAACCAAATTCTAAACTATAAGATTGATTATCTTACTCAAACTTGAAGCCTTGTGCAAATGGGCACATTCGAAAGCATTATTATATTTTCGAAAAGAATCGTTATTATGAAATTCATTAGCTTTGATTCTTAATTACATGTTTCCACTTACATTGATGACTAAAGCTTACTCAAACTTGAAGCCTTGTGCAAATGGGCACATTCGAAAGCATTATTATATTTTCGAAAAGAATCGTTATTATGAAATTCATTAGCTTTGATTCTTAATTACATGTTTCCACTTACATTGATGACTAAAGCTTACTCAAACTTGAAGCCTTGTGCAAATGGGCACATTCGAAAGCATTATTATATTTTCGAAAAGAATCGTTATTATGAAATTCATTAGCTTTGATTCTTAATTACATGTTTCCACTTACATTGATGACTAAAGCTTACTCAAACTTGAAGCCTTGTGCAAATGGGCACATTCGAAAGCATTATTATATTTTCGAAAAGAATCGTTATTATGAAATTCATTAGCTTTGATTCTTAATTACATATTTCCACTTACATTGATGACTAAAGCTTACTCAAACTTGAAGCCTTGTGCAAATGGGCACATTCGAAAGCATTATTATATTTTCGAAAAGAATCGTTATTATGAAATTCATTAGCTTTGATTCTTAATTACATGTTTCCACTTACATTGATGACTAAAGCTTACTCAAACTTGAAGCCTTGTGCAAATGGGCACATTCGAAAGCATTATTATATTTTCGAAAAGAATCGTTATTATGAAATTCATTAGCTTTGATTCTTAATTACATGTTTCCACTTACATTGATGACTAAAGCTTACTCAAACTTGAAGCCTTGTGCAAATGGGCACATTCGAAAGCATTATTATATTTTCGAAAAGAATCGTTATTATGAAATTCATTAGCTTTGATTCTTAATTACATATTTCCACTTACATTGATGACTAAAGCTTACTCAAACTTGAAGCCTTGTGCAAATGGGCACATTCGAAAGCATTATTATATTTTCGAAAAGAATCGTTATTATGAAATTCATTAGCTTTGATTCTTAATTACATGTTTCCACTTACATTGATGACTAAAGCTTACTCAAACTTGAAGCCTTGTGCAAATGGGCACATTCGAAAGCATTATTATATTTTCGAAAAGAATCGTTATTATGAAATTCATTAGCTTTGATTCTTAATTACATGTTTCCACTTACATTGATGACTAAAGCTCTTGAATAATATGTAAACCAACAACATTCCCAACGCTCCATAAGAATACAGAGTTGGGGATGTTGTTGGGTTTCCTAGCTCTATTTTATATGGTGATGCTTTTTTTTTTTTGCCGGTGGAGGTTTTAGGACTCAGCATCGTAATCCCAAAGTCTCGGTGGTTAATAATTATATAAATTTATTAAACTCTATGCAATATATATTAAACTCTATGCAATATATATTATATTATATCATCTAAGAAAATTTATTTAAAATACAATGCCTTCTAAGAATAAAATAAATACATCATCAAATTCCTAAGAGTAATAAAACAATAACAAAATGCAATAATATAACCTTGAATCTAACTGTAAACATAAAACTTAGCAGCTAGAGCTCTCATAAGTGTAGAATTAAAGCTATCCACATCAGTTCCCCTAATAGGAGTTATTTGCAACTCAGAGCATAGCACTAAGACTGTGTATGAGTCCAGACATTTGAGGATCTCGGGGTCTCTATCATAATCCTAATTTCCCAAAAATTCAAAAAGGAGTTAGATTCATGTCTCTGGACTTGAACTTAATAACGTTTTAAATAACAACCATAAGGAAACTTAATAACATCTTCACCTTTTCAGTTACTACAATGATAGGCTTGGAATTAGATTTGTGCTCTAGTCCATTTGCTCTCCTCCTCATAGTTTCGACATCCTGCACTTATCATTATGATATTGATCAAAGCCAATTTGATTTAGTTAAAATAATCTGTGTATATCCATTTTTTGGCAGTGAAACAAATAGGGAATAACATATAAAAGATAGCTGTGAAAGTAGCATTGTACCTGTGCTTCAAATAAATGATGATCACTGAAATCAAGTCTATCAACATAATGTGCTCCAGTCTTTCAAACATATATAACCCACTAGTCAGCATAGCAGAAACTGAATCTTTGTTACAAAATCCAGAGAGCAAGAAAATAGGATGATAGCACAAAACAACTTACCATCTCGATGCTCTTGACGAATGCGTCAGCAGATCCAATTGCGGAAACACATAGCACAGAGGCACAGCGCAATGCTTCTAAAGCTACATGTGACCTAGCATTTTTAACTTCGAACAAGTAATTGGGCACCATCTTGGAGTAGAAAATCGGGATCGACTTTTTGAATCCTTGGACCATGTTCTCAATATCTCTGAGGCTTTGTTTAGTAATCTGCATGATCCAAAACCACTAACCTCAATAGTCATCATCAAAAAGAAAGGAAAAAACAAAACAAAGACAAAGTTGTAAACATACCAAGTCCACGTGGTGGACTACAGCAATATCTGCCCGCTCAAGCGCCACAAGAGGTTCTCGTAAAGGACCAAGGGGAACCAAATGACCATTTCCCCACGGATTCAGCCCGTTAAGCATCACAATCTCGAGATCACGAGACAAACTCAAATGCTATCTACCAAACAAGAGAGCACAAGTCTTGAAAATTGCGATAAACACAAAGAAGGTGAAAATAATCTCATAAAGCTAGAATTTGTAAATATAAACTGCAGAATATACCTGCATCCCATCATCTAGAATGATAGAACCAATTTTTTGAGAAATGGTCCTGGCTTCTGCTCTTTCATGAAGATCAAAGAATGTCCTTAAAGTAGAAGGATCTACACAACCATACTTTTCCAAAAACAGAGCAGCAGTAGCTGCCCGGTTTGCACCAACACCAATCTTTACCGGTCCACCACGAAGATGTCTTTCAAGCATTTTGGCTTCATCTCCACCAGCATAACCCTGCAGTTAACGGCAATATCTAAAGTCTAAGTTCACAAGCAAACACTCCAAAATTCAATGTTAACTAGCGTTATCATCAACCAAATTCAAATTCAAAGTAATCTATAGTAGTTTGAAGAATGGGAATTACACGAGTGAGAATAAGAGGTGAAATTCCAGAATCAACGAGGAGTTGAGAAATGTATTCCACCATTGGCGTCTTCCCATTACCTCCCCAGCTTAAATTCCCAACGCTGATCACCGGAACCGGTAATCTTCATCCACAGGATCAAATTAAATTACAGATATGTTACTATTGATTCGATAAAAGCATAATTCAATTGATCGAGAGAGAGAAAACTCACCGGTCTTTCTGCAAGAGTGAGAAGCGGTAGAGAGAGCGGCGGATTTGGAGAGCGCCGGAGTATAGAGAAGAAGCGAGTGTGAGGATGGGAACGAGAGAGCGGTGAAGAGCAGGGGAAGTAGTATGGACTCGCGTGTAGGCGATTTCGTTCACCACCTTCCTCAGCTTCTCCATGGACTTACTCTGCAACTACTGTACGAGATTCTGACTTTGCGATTCGCTCATAAACCGAAATTCGTTCGACGATTTATTAAGTCTGGTTTAACCGTTTTTAGTTAAAATCCAGTCTTTCGGTTTAGCAAGATCACCCTTTTCCTCTTTTGTTTTACATTAACGTCGGATGTATATGAAAATCTATCAAATCCACCCATTGGTACTGGAATTTTGCATAAAATAAGCAAACTTTGAGATCTCATGGATTAAATTTCATGTTAACTTCGGACTAAATTAGATTAAAAAACTCTGTGCTAACCCGTAAACTAAGATCTCTTTCAATATGCATTTTTACAAAATTGAAAAAAATACAAATTATCGAAAGAAAACAATTACAGAGCTTCAAGAACTAAGTAAATGTATTTAACCCTTTCCATGTTTTGGGGTCTTGGAGCTTCTTAGAACACAAACACCACCTTCGCAGGTGTAATCTCCAGATCCAGAGGAGTCCTTTGCGAAACAGCTGAAAATATTAGAGAAGAAACCCATCAGCCTCTGATTCTAGAGAAACTTTCTATTCACAGACACATGGGCTTTCCAGGTTCTTTGCATTTGTATACATTGTCTAATATATAGAGAGAAAACACCAAGATTCATAAATCAGAGGTGGAGATTAAATATACCAAGGAGTCAACGATGGTGTGCTAAACAAATACAAATCGTATGTTTTTTAAAGACTGAAACTGAAACACGTTACTAATACGATCATGGACGACTAAGTCTTCCTAAAGAACACACGTTGCTGGTTACAATAATGTTAACTAAGACAAATAATAGATGTGTGAAAGAGAGCTTAAGTTCGCAGTATTCTACCTGAGTTATTACAAGGTAACAATGGCTTCCTTTCTTCAATTCTTCGCCTTCTTCTTTGGCTGTCGTTTCTTTCTAGACTTCTTAAACCCACCTCCGTTCTCCTGTGGACAATACAGTTCAATGAATTAGTTCACAGAGAAGGTTTATGCATAACATTATCAGATAGTAACAACCAGCTTCAGTATATGCTGACCTTTCTGTAACATCTATAAGCACTTTGACCTGAAAACTCCTGTCCGCTTTTAGAGATATATACCTACAAAGAGCAAGAAAATTCAGAGACAACAAATTTTCAGACGTCCCTGTCTCTATGTGTTCTTTAACAAATAGTTCTCATGCTTAAAAAGATGTGTGTGTGCATGTGTGTTTGACACATTCACTTTTCTATGTATTTTTAGAACCGTGGAAACAGAAACCTACCTTCCTTCCTTCTGGGGATGTGAACCAATGACCTGCAGAGCCACTGTTAGCTGATACACGCCTTTTGCCAGCATCCTTTGGAGCTGCAGCTCTCGTTTTAGGATTTAACCAGCCTTCAGAATTGTGTGCGCTCTCTTGTCCTTTTGAAAACTTTGACTTTGTTTGCCCTCTTCTGCAGCTTTTGCTGCTAGAGTCTCCAGTTTTAGAACTCCCTTTGCTGCCAAATTGATTCCTGCAATGGCATTCGAAAGATATGTCAATGCCCTGAAAGCAGAAGATTGTAAGTATCAAAACAAGAAAGGGATTAGGAAAAACCTACATATAATCAACAAGGAACACCTCTCGCTGGCTCTCCCTATCATTGACAATTCCCAGAGGCAAGAAGTTTGGTAACCGCTGTCGAGCTAGATTCCGGATCCTTGGATCACTATGCAAGAAGAAACGATGAGATGGAGGAGAAGGGTGAGAAAAATCCAAGAATTGCCCAGTTTGCTGAAAGCCAGTCAAGTTATGATTTCCGCTATTGCTACTACTTGCCGCAGCACTGCTTTGTTTCTGAGCTGTGCTAGTCGTCTTGATGGAGCTAAAATAGTCCTGACAAACATCATCCAAAGCTGGTGTTTGAATCTTGGAAATTGCCGGGGAAAAATCTTTCCACAAATCCTTAATACTTGGAATAGATCCAGGTTCCTTTCTCTTTGGTTTAATTGCAATAGATGGTTGATCCTTTGAGGATGAATCATGTTTTTTAGTTACTCTGCTTAAATCTCTGCTGGTGGATGGATGGTCATCTTCCGAATCTGAATCTAGTAGCTGGAACCTTCGCAGAGGACTACGACTTGACCTCTGAAACAATGATGCAACAGAACTAATCCCAGAGGCAGCAGATGCTGGAACATCCGACTGCTTTCTTTTTCCGCGAGAGATAGAAGGTTGATTAGATAAAACCCCAGAACCATGAAGTGGCACCCTTGAGCTGCAACTAGAAAAATGACTTCTCGCTGAGGCAGGTGCATCTGCATGCATCAACACAAGTTTTATATCAAGATGAAACCAACAAAATATGGAACTACTTAAAAATATTACAAGGACTCGCACTCGATAGAATAATGTTAAGCCTCTCCACTAAAGAAATCCAAAAGAGACCAGTTTGAGTGGAATGACGCTTAATCAGTGTCCTTGTAAATAACAAATTGTCAGCGTGAAGGCTCCAAACCCATTCTAGTCTACCTATTAGTATCGACAACTGCAATCAATTTTTCATCTTTGAGCCACAAGAAACTGATCCTGATATCTAAGTAGACGAGGGTTTGCATCAGCTTCCTAAATCCATCAGTTTTAAGCTCTCTATGATGAACTAAGGATGGTCTTTCAATATCAATGGATTTCCAATTCCAAAACACCTAAGTTTCCAGTTATTTTCCAAAGCAATTAAATGAAATCCCAATAAAAAGCCAATGAGTGAAGAAATTCTAATTAGCTCATTGACGTATAATAAGAGATCTAACAATGCTCGATTCAATCCCAGCAGTTTAAGTAAGACCCATTTTCAGAAAGACAAAGCAAAAGCTCAAAATATAATTACCCGTGGGAAAATCCTCTGGAGAAGAGAACTCTTCAATGTCATCATCCCGGTCCTCTATAGCCACGCCTCTATCATCTTTCCAAGAACACTTGTTGGGATTAATTCCCCGTCGCAACCGCTTGAGAACCGGGCTTCTAAAATCTGGTTCAAGCTCCCGATCGGAATCTGAGACCGTAAGTCCCGCCTCTGGCTCGTTATCGCCGTCCCCGATTAATTGGTCGCCGGTGGAGCTAGGGTTCTGATGTGGATCCGATGCAGCATCAAGATCAAACCCTAGCGAAAACGATGGTGGCTCAATTGAATCCATGAGAATGAATTTAGGGTTTGGACTAGGAGATGAAGAGTCTTCAAAGACATGGAATTGGCGCGTTGGTGTGCCAAAGAAGCTTCAGATTTCGTGAAATTTCCCCGCCTAGCTCACAATCCATGATTTCAAAAAATTTCAAGTGATTAATATTAATTTCGTCGAAATATTTTCCGACGCAGATACAAAAATATAAGAAAAAATCAGAATGGGCCGTGAATATTTTAAAGTTGGATAGAGCCCATAATTGTGTGCCAAAAAAAAAAAAAAAAAAAAAAAAAAAGGATAGAGCCCATAATTTAATTTGGTGAACGGTTTGCTAACCTCGTCCATCTACTCTGATGTTGTTAATCAAAATCAACTAATTTTTTTTTTAATTGGGACTTATAATTCTGATGTTGATGACATATTGACAACACTATTAGACTATCATTATTCGATTACAAATCCTAATTATCAATTAATTATTTACAAAAAGACTTGACATCATCGGCCACGGTATTAATAATATGACATATAAACACATTTATCGAAATTGTTTACACTTAACGGGTGCTCTAAATCGAATTAACAAAGACATCATCGGCCTTAAAAAGTGTAACATAAAAGATGTTTTAATCAAACGAATCCAAAAATATCATCTTTTCTTTTTGTATTTTGCTTTTGTTGGTCGACTTTGTAATTTATTTTTGTTTTATCTTCTTTGCTTACAAGCTAAGGCTTATCCTCCATTTTTGTCATTTGCTCTTGTGACAGCATTTCGGGTCTCACCACCCAATTCACCGTTTTTACTTTTTCTCTAACTTTCTATTTTTATTTATATTTTTTTTACTTCTTCAACTTTAATTTTTGTTTGTTGTTATACTTTCACGATTTTGAATTACTGTTTTCTTGTTGACAAAACAAAAAAAATTATTGTTCTTTTGTTTGTCGGGAAAGAATTATTGTTTACTTTCACACTTGGACCATCCCACTATTCAGATGATACTTCATATTTTGCAAAAACAAAAATAAATAAAGCAAAATTCATACTCCCTCTGTTCCTTGAAGATTAATGTTCTAGAGTTTTCACATATATTAAGAAACAATCATTGTTTAATTATTTGTCAATTACTTTTTTATATTAAACATTTTTTAATAACTTTAAACCAATAGTATTAGAAAACAGTTAATCATTACGTCTTGAAGTTTACGATATATTAATTTTAATCAATTAAAAATAAAACAAAAATCTAAAAAATCAAACTTTGTGGAACAAACTAAAACTCTAGAACATCAAATATCTAGGAACAGAGGGAGTATAAGATAAAGATATTATAAAAAATCAATCTTAAGAAAAAACAAAAAAACATTGGACAAGACAACAGACTGAATTACCGTTTTATTCTTCTGAAATCAAAATCAACACATTCATACGAGATATGGTAAGGACAATTTGGTCATTTAGACACGTGTCGTCCCCGCGTTGCAAAAGCCTATAAAGAATCCATTTTACCTTTTCTCACTGAATCTGAAAGAAAAAGCTCGCAGAGATGGAAAAATGGGGAAGATTGCTGCTCGTAACAGTATCTGCGTTAATCTTTGCTTCTGTGGCGGCAGATGATTACGTCAGACCAAAACCTCGTGAAACCTTGCAGTTTCCATGGAAACAAAAGTCATCTTCTTTACCCGAGCAGGTAAATTAGACTTACTTGAGCTCCTCTGTTTTTTTCTGATTAGATGATTCTTGTTTCCGAAAAATCATGTTTTTATGGTCTGATCTCTGTCTATTCTTGTAACTGCATGTGGGTCTCTGTTTGTTTTCTCCACAAAATCCGATTTTTGGGTTACTTACTCCAGAGAATCCCATTTGCTAATGTCCTGAAGTCCTTCTCATTACTGTCTTCAAATGGATAAATCTGATTACTTTGTAGGTTCGATCAACGCCATTAGTAATCTTTACTACTTTGGATAAAATTGCCGTTGCCTGATTGATTACTGACATCAATGGAAATGAGTTTTTATATCTGTTGTTCCATTCTGAAGAAAAGATTGATGTTTGAGAGAAATTAAGATATGGAGAGTGCATGATACAGTTGGTAATGAACCTCATTGTAGGTTCTGTTATAGTTTCATTTGGTATTGTTTCTTATACTGAGATTCATACTTGCAGGTGCATATCTCATTGGCTGGAGATAAACATATGCGGGTCACTTGGGTTACGAGTGACAAATCATCTCCTTCGTTTGTTGAGTATGGAACATCGCCAGGGAAATACTCCTATCTTGGTCAAGGAGAAAGCACCTCCTACAGCTATATAATGTATAGATCAGGGAAGATACATCATACCGTCATCGGGCCTTTGGAAGCGGATACTGTTTATTATTACCGTTGTAGTGGAGAAGGACCCGAGTTCCATCTGAAAACACCACCAGCTCAGTTCCCGATTACTTTTGCAGTGGCTGGGGATCTTGGGCAAACTGGTTGGACCAAGTCGACTCTAGATCATATTGATCAATGCATATATGCTGTGCATCTACTTCCCGGGGATCTTTCTTATGCTGACTATATGCAGCACAAGTGGGACACGTTTGGAGAGCTGGTTCAGCCTCTGGCTAGTGTAAGGCCATGGATGGTGACGCAAGGAAACCATGAGAAAGAGA